TAGTTTAGGTAGCAGATTCAAATCACGTGTGGTGTGATATTCTAGTATATTTTGAATCCCCTTATGTGCATTTATGGCTGCGATAGTGCGTCCATGTGCTCATAAACAATTTTATTGTTTTCTTTTTCCTTTATTTCCAACAATAATTTCATTTTAATATAATTTTTCTCTCTTTATTTTTTCCAACAGGTAATGCTCCACCTTATTTGATTTACCTTGATCATGAACACCATGAAATTGTTGTAGCCATAAGGGGTTTAAATTTGGTGAAAGAAAGTGATTATAAAGTTTTGATGGATAATAAGCTCGGGAAGCAGATGTTTGATGGTGGGTATGTGCATCATGGTTTGTTGAAGGCAGCAATTTGGATGTTGAATAAGGAGTCTGAGACTTTGAAAAGGCTTTGGGTTGAGAATGGGAAGAGTTACAAGTTGATATTTGCTGGTCATTCTTTGGGTTCTGGAGTTGCATCATTGTTGACTATAATTGTGGCGAATCATGGGGATAGATTAGGGGGTATTCCAAGGAGTTTAATAAGCTGCTATGCTGTTGCTCCTGCTCGGTGTATGTCACTCAACTTAGCTGTTAAGTATGCTGATGTTATACGCTCAGTAGTTTTGCAGGTGAGTGGGTTTAGTAGTCATTGATTTGGCTACTCTAATTTGGCACTATCATACTTTAGCAACATATTCTGAAAAATGTTACTAGTTGTTTAATATTCTGTACATTAGTAGCTGACTAGCTTGTGATTGAAAAAGTTGGGCGTGGTGTTTAGTGTGATTTAGACTGAAATGATTGTTTAGTTTGTTGATTTAGCTAATAATTTTGGGCGGGAGATTGTAGGACGCTAGAGGAAAAGAGCCAAATCTGAGGCTGATTACATAATATGTCCTTAAATATAGGAACAGGTTGAATTTTTTTGAATATTTGAATTTTTTTCCGATCAACTTGGGATGAGTGAATGGTGAAAATGCCTTGGGAATGTTTTGATTATCATTTTATAGTGCAGATTTATGTGGTCTCTTGTTTATAGTTGCTGTCTCTGTGTCAAGATTCATTGGCATGTATATATAGTACTTGAAAAAGACATCATCAAGAATTTGGGATACTCGCATATGTAAGAACCAATCTAGCTTCTCAATTATTGCTGATACTTTGTTTTCACTTGATGTTTTAGGAGACATTTGCATTAGCCTATGGCAGTTTTAGTTCTTCTATAGTAAACCAAATTAATGCAGATTAAAGGTTGCACCATAAGTTTATGACGGATATATTACAGGTACCATGACTCGGAAGGTAGTTCGAACTGCCCTGTCAGACTATTAGAGACTTCCAAGTGGTCAGTTTTTTGTCGAATTAGCTTAGAGTTCCTCTTGTACCGCAAAGTAGCTCCGTGAATTCATCCCGTGTAACTCTTATCTTGTTCTGATCAATTGCTTATACACAGTGGTAGTTTTCTCTTGCAACTCATATCTTTAAGGTAATACAGAATAAGAATTAGATCTAGAATGTTAGATTGTCGATAGTGAGGGGGGAATTGAAGCCACTAGAGTGGGAGAACGGGAGTTTGTATGTGCCCTTAAGGTCTTTGGTGTGGTTCAAGCTCTTATTTGAGTGGATCAGAACAGCTGTTGGTTAAAATTCATACTAAGAAAAAATGATTAAACAAAACGGTATGTATAGCAAGTGAAATGCTTGGCCTACTCACTGATAAGAATTGGAACAGTGTCGGCTCTTTACATTGGTGGATCTAACCACTATTGATATCATGCTCACTCTTTTCTGTCAGCTACTGGTATTTGAGATTTAAATAATGGGCCAGTCAAACTTCTGGGATATTGCCATAAAATGCTTAACGACAACAATGTTTGTGCTGTTTTTATTCTGAAATTTATAGAATTTTGATGAGATTCCAACTTGAGGATTTCTTTTCCTTCTATGATCGCCAAACTAAATTGTAAAGTCGCACCCTAAAAGCCATGAGTACAATAAACTAGGTGTTGACTTATTCCTCATGATAATCTGAACTTCACGAAACAATCATGTTCTCTGAAAACATATCTATACTGGCTTCTTCTTCCTCAGGATGACTTCTTACCACGAACACCCACCCCACTGGAAGATATATTCACATCCGTCTTCTGGTTAGTTCAGTTTTCCTACATTCTCTGGGTACAGAACAAAAGCCCTTGAGTTTTCGAAATTCCCTTTCTTTTTCTTTGGAGAAATTGTTATAAGTATCTTCTTAAACCGAGCGTTAATGCTTTCAACAGTTTACCCTGCTTGTTATTTATGGTATGCTTGAGAGATACCTTCATACCTGAAGGTAGGAAGCTCAGAGATCCGAGAAGATTATATGCGCCTGGCCGAATGTATCACATCGTTGAGAGAAAATTTTGCAGGTAAATCACATTCAAATAGTAATACTACTATTCCACTGTACTATCAGGGTTTTGCAAATTTGTGTTGATTTTGTACAGGCCTTTACGCTAAGTCCCTCAGAAAACACATTGTTCCTTATAGTCGCTCAGAAAGAAGATTTTACTTGTTTTCTTAATCACATTTATTGCTTGACAGATGTGGGAGATTCCCTCCAGATGTTAGAACAGCCATCCCAGTTGATGGAAGATTTGAACATATTGTGCTGTCATGCAATGCAACATCTGATCATGGAATTATTTGGATACAAAGAGAATCAGAAAAGGCATTAGCGGTAAGTACTTTCAGAATATTTTGTCATTTGAAAATAAGAGCTGTAGTCCATCATTGGTGATATCATTTGCAACAAACATGTGTGTTAAATGTACCTTGATCGCCTGAAGATTTTCAAATAGACAAGTCTAACTTTAGGCCTTTCTTCAACAACAACAACATACTCATTGTAATCTCACAGGTGGTGTCTAGGGAGGGTAGTGTTTACGCAGACCTTACCCAGTTACCCCTAACTTGTGAAGTTAGAGAGGCTGATTCCGGACCCTCGGCTCAATGAAAGCATAATCACAACAGTTATGAAATGTTAGGCCTTTCTTCGCGGATAAGAAAAGAAGGGAGTTGTGCCTTTTTGCCTTTCGATTTTCATGGCCAATGAAAAACTGCCTGTTTTTTGGGGCTAATATCATTTTTCCCATGGCCAATGAAAAACTGCCTGTTTTTTCTAAATTCACATAGTTCAACTGTGTGCCAGCTGTCTGGTATTCGGTGCATTGCTTTATCTTCATTCTCTTGGTATTAGTTCCAGAATTTCATTCTTTGAAAGTTTCTTGCGTTTCAAGTTTGATGTCTAGAAAAGCATTCTACTCCAATACAGGCCATAGCGGAAAAGCATTCTACTCCAATACAGGCCATAGCGGGAAAGCATTCTACTACAATAATCAGCTTAGTTTCCATGAAAATGTTTCATTCCCGAAGATCCTGAAGTAGCAGAATACTGAGACATGACCCTTAATAGGAGGGTATGGAGGTTGAGAATTAGGGTAGAAGGTTAGTGGTTAAATAGGTGTGTCTCATTTTCATGCCGGTAGCATTAGTATTAGTCTCGTATTTTCGTTTCTCCTTATCCGCATATTTCTTTTACTACATGTTGTTTCTTTCGCTTCGATTAATCTATCACCTTATCACCTTTGTTTCTTGTTGTTACTACTTATTGTTTCTGCTTCTTTTTCATTTTTTCTGAGCCGGGGGTGTATCGTAAACAGCCCCTCTACCTTCGTAAGGTAGGGGTAAGGTACGCCTAAGGTCTGTGTACGCTCCTCCCTCCCAGACCCCACTTTGTGGGATTACACTGGGTTTGTCGTTGTTGTAGTTGAAGTAGCAGAATAGTGTGTTATACCCTGCTATGTTTCTGCATGCTAGAAAGTCAGTCGTCATTTACTTGAATATATTTGTTGAAGGAAATATTTTTCCTGAATAAGCGCTTCCCTGCAGAGGCTCAAGGAGGTTAGTGGTGAGACCACGACTACCCCACCACCAGTGCAGAAAATTGAAAGGCAGCACACACTAGAAAAAGAACACAAGAAGGCACTAAAAAGAGCTGTCACTTTAAATATTCCACATGCCGTGCCAGCAGATGCAGAGGAGGAACCCTCAGTGCATGTGCATAAAGAGGAAGAATCCACGACAGAGGCAGCTTCTCTCATAGAAGGTGAAGACGCTTCCACAAGCACAGGTCATTCCACTGATGCAAGAACTAACTGGAATGAAGTAGTTGAAAAGCTTTTTACGAAAGATGAAACGGGAAACTTGAGATTGAAGAAAGAAGCAAGTGGTACTGAATAACAACTCCCTTTGAAGATGCTTTCTCTATTCTTTCCTTTTTCTTCAAAATTTTATGATGCTTGAAGAAAAGTAGTATTAGTCATGTTTCCGCAATTCTATGTTCAATTCTTTGTACACATTAGTCCTGTACATTTTTCATTTGTAAACACCATCTGAAATATAATGTACAATCTAAAGCCCCGGAGAGGGGAATAGAAACAAAAGCATAAAGAAATGATGATTGGTTGTAGTTGCATTTATATTTTGTTTTGTTTTGTATGTGAAGCCAAGGATTTATCGGAAACAGCCTCTCTATCTCTATGAGGTAGGGGTAAGGTCTGTGTACACACTACCCTCCCCAGACCCTTATGGGATCAAAATTGGGTTTGTTGTTGTTGTTTGTTTTGTATGTGAAATGCCTGAGTTAGCTAAACAAACTACCATGATTCTAGTTTTGCCTCTTTCTTTATGCATTCGTGCACTTTAATAGAAAAAGGTAGCAATTCTTTTTCCATAAATTTCTTAGTGGTTACTGGTAATACAACATTCGATACTAGAATAAATTCAGAAAGAAATGGTAGTCTTCCTTTTTAGCTTTCTTTTTTGACTGTCTAACATTATACAAAAAGAGTTGGTACCTGTATCAACAACGTACAGACATCTAAAATTGGAAGATATGTATCAAGAATCCATCAACAGAGTAACAATAGCCAATCGGAAACAATGTATAATAAAATGGAATGGTGTTAAATGAGGCACAAGCTTTTTGGAAAACTGATTGGCCAGACACATAAACCACTCTAGTTTCCATTCATTGATAGGCATTAAAAGGGTTCATCAAACAATCCCTTCATCAATACAATCACAAAGGCTAAGAATCTCTAGTATTACAACTGGAAAAGATCAGTTGGTGATGGGATCTAAAAAGAAAGTAGCCCTGAGCGGCTCTTCTAGTTAAAAGTCACAAGTTTAGCAGTTTCACCATTAAGTCTGCATGGCTTCAGCACTGGCATGGTAGCTATCCAGCTCCTTGTCAAGTTCCTCAGCTGACTTCTTAGCACCCTTGTTGCTTGCCCTACCACTGCTACCTTGACCTGACCTCGACCACGACCGTGCCCAGGTGCATTTCTAAAACCACCACGGCCACCCCTTGACCGTACAGCAAAAGGGAATCCAGGTTAAGCACATGCAACCATGTAAAACATGCTAAACATCTACCATATTTATACATGTAATTGGCTTTTAGTTTTACTTGGTAGTGCAAAAGATAGGCATATACTATTTTAGTATATTTCTTTTTTTTGTTTGGGGGGTGGGGTGGGGGGGAGGGGGGGGGGGTAGAAGAAGAATTTATTATTTATCTCGATTAGTCACTAAAGCCTTTATTCTTTTTATTTTCTAAGAAAGTCATCAAAAGAATATATAACTGTCCTCATCAGAAATTTACCTAGAATCCCAAGACTAGTAACGGATGTAGCACCGCTTCTTCCATGAGCTGGGCCACTCGGCGTACATTTGGTAACAGAAAGAATAAACATTTCACAAAACATTTGGTAACAAAAATACAAGACAGCCTATATCGGGAAATTAGAGCTTCAAGCATAGAACGCCTAAACAAGCAAACAAAATCTAAACAAGCAAACAAATAACTTCCCAGAGCTATCAACAAAGGAAAACAGAGATTGAAATAGATGCCAATCCATCTTCAGAACTCTAGCCTGAAATAGAGCAATTCAACTGGAGCAGACTCTAGAATCTATTAGGCACAATTCCGACCATAATACATCCACTGCATGTGACTTGGTCAAGACAAAAAGCATACAGAAAGTATATAAGAGCACAGTGAGCATTCGAACATACACAGATGAAACAAACAAAATTCTCAGTCAAAGAAAGAGATGGTTAATTGATTGACATACGCTATGACAACAGTCCTCTGATTCGCTCCTCCAACAGTCCAACTATATTTACACGAGCTGACAAAGGAACTTCTGGGTTGGAACCAGCTATTTCAATCTTCATAGGCTCTCCATCCAACTTCACATTGTTATATCTTTTAAGTGCTTGGAATGCATCACTTCTTCTGGCAAAAACCACCTCAGCAGCGCCCTAAAAATTAAGATAAGATCAACTTTACAATTAAGGACAAATCTAAAACCATACAGACTAGCATCATGAATTCCAACAATGTTGAGTTTAAAACTTTAAATATTGAAAATAAATCTGCTAAACTCATAAGCCGAAGACCAAAGCAACAAACACAGATACCTGAATGTATGCAACTAAACCGACTAGTGACATGTGCTTCTAGATGCTAGACTTAAATATCCCTTCTTCCTTTTCTGTGTTGAAACCGAGAAAGGATAAAATTTTGATATGACAATATTATAACAAGAAAAAAAGCTTTAAAATTAATATCAACACATATCTTAAACGGTAGAAAGCAGCACTTTCTCGTAAAACAATAGCAGGCACTTATCAGCCATTTTCGACAGCCCAACTTTGCCAAAACTGCTTGCAACTACGTCCATAATCTATTGACGGCCTTTGAAACACCTTCAAACTCTATTATTAACTAAGATTTAATTATGCTATGTAAGTTAATCAGAGAATACATTTTCTTGGGTCTTCAAGTTTCTTGATTTCAATTTGTAGATGTGATTTCATACCGTACTTACAAGTTAAAAGCTAAGAACATGGCAACTTCAAAAGATGGCAAAGTCAATTGGCTGTGTGGAGGATGCACTGTAGCCAAATCTTTTATTACTTAGACGGGTAAATTTGTAAATGGAAGGGCCAAAGTAAGAAAGACACTTACATTAAACAACAGTTTACATCACCAGCAAATTTGTTAGAAAACAGCAAATTTGAGTCGTTAAATGAAAAGAAAAAGACCCTCAAGGATTCAGTATATGTTTGACGATTAGCCTAATACGTCTACGCCAGGATTTCATTATCATTATGCTCACATTCTGGATTCATATCTAACAAGTGACATGAGACTACCCATCCTTAGAAGTCAACAAATAGTTTCCAAAACCAGCTGATGACGGAAAAAAAGAACAGTGCAGATAACTGATAGTGTCATCACACTGATTGCAAGGTAAATCAGGAAGGGATAACAGAAATAAGAAAATTACCTTTAGTCTTAGATCCCTCCCAGTTGCCTGTGATGGGACCTTAGCGTGCTTGGCACGTACATAAAAAGCCAATATTCCTTCCATGACAATTAGCCAACTTCCACAGGTTGTGCTACTAGGCGGCACTGCCAAAATGTTGCTTTCTACAGCGATATGCATCTCATGTAGCACTGCAATCAATACTCCTTCCATGACAACTAGCCAACTTTCAGGGGTTGTACTTTTAGTTTTAGACGGCACCGCCAAAATTTTACTTTCTAACAGTTATATGCATCCTATGTAGCACTGCAGTGGCTGCATAAAGTGTCCCATATGAAGGTAAGTTATCAAAGTAACTTCTATAGATCCACAAAATAAGGACTAAACCGAATAACAAACCTGTAAGAAGTGCGATCACCTCTTTTCTAGGAAAAACTCCTATCAAGGAAATTGAGAAAGAGAAGAACTATCAGCAATCTAAGATCTTATAACTCAACAGAAAGAATAGATCAGAGTGCCGGCCACCTTAATGTGATCAAAAGATACATGTGCCAAGAGAGAATTGAAACAAAAGCGCTGCAACACCTCAGCTCTACGTAGAATCAAGTAAATCAAGAAAGTAGCCTTATTCACCTTACTTCTAGATCTGCACCTAGGCTGTGCCCAATTGTTTGTCCATAAGGAGGCAATATCATTTCTAACCTCTTTGTCATTTCGTACAGCTTATGTAACTTTTCCTCCTCCCCTAGCAGTAAGAGAGACCTCTTCAGCATCTGAAACACTAGCTCACTCATGTGCCTACCCCTCTTCAACATTTCCTCAGAGCACTCAAATGCTTCTTCAACTCTCCCACGGGAACACAATCCGGTGACCAAAATTTCCAGAGAATGGCAGTGTGGACAGTGCCCTTTATCCATCAGGTAATTCCATAAACTCAAGCCCAGATCAAGTCTGCGGTTCTCACAGAAGAATTTCATCAGGGTCACAACAGTACGTGCCTTGGGCAAGAAATTTTCGTCGATCATCTTTTCATAAAGATCAATGACACCACCAACATCTTTTGATCTTATCAATCCCCAGAACATAGTGTGGTAAGTTAAATGGTCAAGCTCAATATTTTTCTCCTCCATCTCATCCATTAAGACTGCTGCAGATTTAACATCCCTGGATTTGATAAGAGAACTCAGAAGGGCATTATAGGCCCCAGTATCTGGTTGCAAATTTCTCTTGAAAATTTCATTGAAAAGTTCTTTTGCTTTAGTTATATTACGAGCAATTCCTGCTCCATGAATCAAAGTTGTTATCGTTTGTACTGTGGGCAAGCAATTTACTCTCTCCATTTCTTCAAATAGTTTCAAAGCATCACCAAGATGACCTTTTTTGCAGTAAGCGTCGATTCTTATACCGTACGTTACATTATTAGGCTTAAACCCTCTTTTAACCATCTCATGGTAAAATAACTCTACTGCAGTAATATCCCCTGATTCCTTGAATCCCAAAAGCAAAATATTCATTGTCTTTGTATCAGGTGGAAACCTTGAGTGGAGTTTGTTGAAAATTGAACGAGCTTCTTTCATCTGCCTCTGCGTGCAAAATGCTCGAAGAAGAATATTGAACTCTTCGGTGCCAAATTTCTTTGCGGGGAATAAATGCTTCTCCATCTTATCAAATGCTTCAAGGGCATCTTCATAGGATTGATGTTTTGCTATTCTTGACAGCACGATGCTCAATGACTTAAGAGTGAGCAAGGACGGGTGTAGCTGTTGAATTTTCTTCATTAGTTCCCAAACTTTATCAAAATAACGCATTCTTGCTAGTATGTGAAGTGTCTTCTCAAATGCATCTGAGGTTGGACTATATTCAGTGTGGCGGAGGCAGAACTCAAAAAATTCATACGCTTTAAGTCCATTGGCATGTGCTGCAAATAGGCGACCGAGGACATTTTCAACAAACGTGGCAGACAAAACACTCGGAGAGATATGAAGTTTAAGTGTTGGTTGCAATGGCTGAACAGGAAAAGGGTGGTCATTGATGATTCTAGCAATTGTTTCAATGTCATCTTTTGTTTCTGAAACTGAATGTAGCCAACTACTTGACCAAAAGTGATCCTTTAGCTGTCCAACAACTCGAAAAACTTGACCTAATTTATTTATTCGTTTAGAAAGCACAACCACCATTTCAAGTAACAAATCAAAGTTCTGCGCTTCAATCAATACGAGAAAGCTAACAAACACGCCTTATCCTATCTGGATGAGCTGACAGTTGCTTAATACAAAGAGTAAATAGCACAAGCTATATACACATAATACAAACAGATCAACAAGCAAACTTACAAATCGAAAATCAAATAAAACACAAGGTTATTGAATAACGGTAAAACATGAACTTTCTGCAGTTTCAATAATAATCACCATAAAAGGAGAAAAATCACTAAATTTTTACCGAAATCTGTTGATATGCACAAAGAACGAGCAAATGTGCGATTTTATGAAGAGACTATTAGGGCGTTTGAGAGAAGGGAATTCGAAGGCCTTTGTCTAAAGAAATAATTACAAGAAAATACACATGCACTTCACACCATAATAAAAAATGACCCATGTTTTTAAATTTTACCCCACCTAACCTACATTGTACATATTTTGAAAGCATTTGCAAATTCAAAATATATGTTTTTACAACAATTGCTTCTAAAAGCTATGAAGTTAATTCTTTGTTCTCACAACTATTGCTTTCACTCTCTCTTCTTCTCACATCTTTTACATATGCTTCAAAGGACCGTGTATTTTCTGTTTCTCCTCTTGTGCCACCTGCTTGCAATGAAAGAAAATTGAAGAGTAGAAGTCCACCATTGAAGATCATTCAAAGCTTTGCTTTTGAAAATGGGTTGTTTTGAATTTGTTTGTTGTTTGGATTGGGTATTGTTCCAATTGATTGAAAATATCAAAAGGAGTACAAAATTAAATTTGAAGTGATTTGGAGTAGATTTGAGCAAGATTTGAATTAAATTTCAGAAAAGACGCAAGAAAGAAGACGAAGTCAGTTTTTTGTATAATTATGTATAATCTTGTATAATATTGTATATGAGTGTAGAAACACACCTTATACACTGTTATACACTTTTATACACCTTTATACAAGCGTCTGTAGACCACGATTTTCAGTTGCAATTCTTATTCAAAACCAATCTAAATCTCCATTAAATGACTTCAAATTTTATATACAACCTCCTTATACTATTTCTAACAAGTCTAAATAACACCCACTCCAAATTTCTCATAAAATCAAATTCGAAATTTAAACCCACATATTTAAGCTTGTTAAAAATCTAATTTTCACCACCCAAGTGAAGTTGGTTTGTTGAATTAATATTTGAGTCACAACTACTGATTCGAAAAGTAATTTAAAAGCTTGAGGAATCTTTTTTAAAAATTAAATAGTAATTTTGAAAACCTATTGGAGTTGGATGTTGAATCTTAGCCTATTATTTATGGGCTAGTTGGTTGTAAATTGAAATATGGGCTATAAAATTGAAAAGTATGGAGCCCAGTTGTTCTAATGTGAAATTTTCCCTTGTTTAAAAGGAACGTCATGAGTAAGTCGCAATCTCCAAACTCGATTTTGCAAGATCGCAATCTAAATAAGTCGTAACATTCTGAGTCGAAAAACACTTAATGTTATTTATAAGTCGCAATTGTTATAAAATATAATTACAGTGGATGTCCATAACCACCAAACTATTCTTCTCCATTATCTTCATAACTCTCACTACTCTAATATTTATGGAGTTATGGTTGTAACTCCCATACCTCCCCGAGATCTTCCACCATGATGTCAAATGCTTAATGGCATATTTATGGAATTCTTTTGGTATAACTCTATGTAGTACTATAAATAGAGGACGAGAAGTCATTTTTTAACACACTTGAAATACTTGAAAGAAATAAAAAGCTCTCATCTCTTGCCCTCTACATTCTTGTCTATTTTCTTGTTTCATATTATTACTTTGAGCTGAGTTTCTTAACACACTATCAGCACGACTTCTAACCAACTTAGGATATGTTCCTCAATTGAGGGATTTTCACGAAGAATAAAGCATGGCCAGGTCTTGATAAGTCTTTCCACGAAGGCTTAGTGGTATTCAACAATTAGTGACGCCAACACGGTACAAATGTTCTTCGGTAAGAGTTAGGTATGTAACCAATTTATTTTACTTTGATTTGGCAAATGGGAATGATTTTGTAATGAACCAAACGTATGAATTATCTCTTTACTGGTTTTACTAAAATTGGCTTTGGCTATAAGTATTTTATATGTGATTGATTTAAAATTGATATACTCACATTTGGTAAGAGGAAAAAGGCGTCTGATTCCACTAGTCTTATGTTAGTTTGCATTTGAATTTTACTAACTTTTACACTAGTTGGCTTGAACAAGTGTGTTAGACTCATTCATTATTTGTCTCATTTTTCTTGTAGGTAATGAAATGTTAATGCATGATATATATAATACTATGTCTAAACTATATGTTTTGATATATTTATATATAGTATATTAGTATATGAGTATGTACTGGATTGAAAATTTTATTTTTTATATTTCTTATCATTTTCAATTCACTTATTTTTAATGATAATTTTACTATGTCGAATTTATCAAAATTTAAATTTATGGCTATGTAAAATTATGTTCTATTTTCGAAGTGAATGAGACAAGTTATGACAAATATTATACGGTGGGTTCAAGTCCCAATGCACCATGAGGGTAAGACATCAGATTTTGAGTCATGATGCTCCATGATGGTAAGAGTTGGGTTCGAATCCCAACTCATTTTGGCCTAACATGCCTTTATATGGGTAAGGCATTGGGTTTGAGTCTCAATGCACCATATTGATGATATAATGATGACTAAAGAAAAATAGTATATTTTTCATGAAATGTCCCACTTGATTTGCTCCATTCTTGAAGTGAATGTGATACCGGTGCATAATAAGTTTAAATGAAGACAAGTGGTTGTTCAATGAAAGTGCGTGTACCAAAGACCAAAATAATAATGGTCATCATTATGGTAATTGTAAAAAGGAGAAAAATAAGGTTTCTCAAAATAGTCCTTCAAAAGGTGAAGGAAATATTTACCATCAAATTGGTATGGAAAATTTATAAAGCACGCCGTGATAATTATACTCCATTCTTTGAAGAGAATGTGACTTGTGATAAGCATTGAGAATGTAGATTCATTCCCGAAGGTGAATGTAACAATATGTGATAAAAGTAATGGATAAAGACGTGCAATGCATGATTGGATACACACCGCAACTCACCTCTAAGGGAGGTTTGAGAGAAAGAAAGATAATGAATATTACAATGTGGTTACATGAATATGTCATTGGTCGCGTACATGTGGTACGCCAAAAATATTTTGACATGCCTTATAAAATGTTATTAAAGGCAAAATTAAAGCAAGAAATGATTTTGTTTATGATGATTTTGACCATGACAATTATTATGATATGATTTTCCCATGACAATTATTATGATATGATTTTCTCCGTGAAGGAGACATTCACCATATGGATTGTGTGACAAAAGATCTTGTAGTACAAAATCAATTAAGAGCTCCGGAAGAGCTAATTTGTTACTACCAGATGAATGAAATTGTTCATGACATTGATATTGTAGTAAGTCTCAAAAGAAACTTTTTGAATTTTAAATGTATTAGCCAAAATGGTTGGCATATTGAGACTATAAATGAAAGGAAGATTGAATATCTTCATATTACTATAATCATACCGGGTACATATGAAAGATTACCCGATTTTTCTTCTATTTGTATTGCACATGTATAAGCATGATGATGGAATCACATGCCACAAGTAAACTAGAGGTTTACTGAAACAAAGATTAGTTGCCATGACCGGTTGGCCATCCCGGTTCAATTATGATGCGAAAATTACTTGAGAATTCACATTAGCATATGTTGATACCCAATTTTTCCTCATATATTTTTATATACATATACATACATATATATATATATATATATATATATATATATATATATATATATATATATATATATATATATATACACACACACACACTTTCAAAATAGCATATATACAGTTATTTCTTCTCTTTTTATTTATAAAATTTCCAATAATTATCCTTCAAATTATTTTTGTGGTGATTTAGTCATCTAAATTCTTTATGCCAAAATAGTGTTTAAACATTTTCAGTGCATTTTTTGTAATTATATTTATATTTTT